AAAAAGACGAGTGATGAAACAAATTGAACAGCCAGCTCCGGTCAAAGTTTGGTAAGGAAGGATGTTCTGAACCCAAAGAATTGGGCTAGATTGCCCTACCACCAGTGTAATCTACCCTGGTGCTTTGTCGTCTAACGTGAATTAATCTACGAATTATCCTTTGTTTAATTAGAGCAACAAATAATTAATCACACCCCGGAATCTTCTGGCTAACTATTCAGGTAATATAGTACTGGCAGTACTAATCAGGTTTGAACGCTATCTCAGGCGCATCTGTGGACTACACTGACTGACTTGACCTGCCAAGTGCGCACGGCACGAGTTAGCACTAATTACAGAGGCTCGAACAGTTTCGCAGCTCAACAGAGGCCTAGCGTATACTGGTATGGAGTAGGAATAGGAGAGTCCAAGAACAAGTGCCAAGCAGGAATTTTTTGCGGTTCTGGGTGCTCGGAGCTTGGGCTCCAGGGTTTCAGCGTCCTTTTTCCAGGTACCCAATAATTGTGCCGGTGGAAAAACTGGGGAGTAGGCAGGAGGTGCTGGGCACAACTGATCTGCCCATGTCCGGTCCATCTGTCCATGTGTGATGCCCACGAGTCCAGGACGCGAGAAGCACTGATGATGATGGAAGGAGCTCGGGATTTGCAGGGCGATGGCGGCTCAGCGCCCGACTTCGATGAACCAAGCGTCCACATGCGGCGTTTGGCGCGACCAACCGAGATCCAGTTCTGATCTTCTGGATGCATGGCGTGCAATGCGTTCACAAAAACTAGCACTACAAATTGTAAACTGTGCAGGAAATCAAATGAGCGCCGCGCCTCCTTAAAGGGCGAGCTGGCTTTTAGGATGTGTTTGTTTTCAGGGTACAGGGTTCTCGACAGGGGGCCAAGCGCGTGTGGACAAACATTCGTGTGGGTGTGGCGCGGACTCCGACCCGTCGCGCCGTTCACGTGCGGACGCCCATTCGTCGTCGCCGCGCAAGCGCATGCAGCAGCGAAGGGCGGGCCGGCGCGCCATGATTGGGCAACAACGTCGCGCCGCCCGATCTGCCCGAGCGCGAGCCCATCCATCATCGGCCGGTTCCCCGTCACGATTCCGGAAGTGCTATCGCGCGCGGATTTGGTGCCCGATCCGTGAGGTGGATGGATGGACGGCCTCGCGGCCCGCTGCGCTGGTCCCGATCGGCGAAACCGAGACGCTGCCTGGCCACCGCATCCTGCATGGGCTCCCTCTCCGTCTCCGTGCGGTGAGAGCCGGTGATCCCGTGTCGCCCCGGCCCCTGCCTGCGACGCGAGGGCGACGCCACGGCGCGTGCGGTGCCAGCGTGCCACCCTGCCGACTACTGTAGTAGCCTACTGCTACTGTTGCTCGCGAAAGCGAGCGTACGGGCAGTAGCACGCAGGCGAGGTGAGCCAAGCGATCCGCAATCATGTGGCGCTGATAATTAAGGGGATGGAGTTTGGCCATGATGGCCGTGGATTCTGCCGCTGAGCCATCCCATTCTGGATCGGTTGCTTGCAACCCGATCTCTCGATCTTCTAGTTGGGTGGGGTTGAGGCCAAAACAAAATCCAGAATTTTTTTTATATGTCTAGGTGACATTCAGTTGATTTAGCTCTCCCTGTTAACTGAATTTTTCCATGTATTTACACTATCATCTGGTTATATTTACACTAATTTCTTCAGTGTAATATGTAGGACAGAGTGGTGTAATTTGAGGATAACCTAAGATCTCAGACAAATATGGCCCCGTTCGGCTGGCAGAATCTTGGTTGAAACTGACTGGTTTTGTGAGAGAAAACATTGTTTAGCTGGTTTGATGAATAGTGACATGAGTGGGGAATAAAATATTTGGTCTGAACATTTCAGACCAGCGAACTGGCTCTATAAGCCAAATTTCAAAAAAAAATTACAATTTTTTTCTATGGATTCTAGATACCAGAGAAATATATGTCAAATTATTCACAAATATACAAATAGAAGAACGGAGAGAGAGCAAAGAAGAACAGACACCCGAGAGCACATCTCGTCTTCCAGCAGCAGAAAACACACCGGGACGGCGGCGCCCGCACCGGGGACACCCGTGCTGGGGACGCCCGCCGGGGACGCTCCACCCGCATCCGCACCGGGGCAGCGGCGGCGGCCTACCCGCCGGGGACGTCCGCGTCAGGGCGACGGCGGCAACCTGGGGCGGCGGCAAAGGAGCGACAAAGGAGCCCGTGCCTGCCCGAGCAGAGGAGCAGCGAAGGAGCCCGAGAAGATGCCGACACGTGTAAGATCCAACAGCCCAGAATTCGGTTGAGGAATGGACCAAAATCACTCGGTCAAGAGTTAGCGATTCTTGGTTTTTTCTGCTTTTGATTGATTGAGTTTTCACCGTGCTTTCGGTTGGAAAGAGAGAATGATATCATCATCATCTTTTGGCAAAGCGGCAGCGTTATGGTTTTGGAAACATGGAAAAGTGAGGGTTCAAAAGCACAGGCTTGTCCTTTTGGAAAAACACCATGAATCCGCTTTGTTGAAGTTTTCGATTGCATGCCGCAATTCCTTCAGCTCCTTTCCTCGGTGTGGGCTGGGCTTTACCATATTTGCTTGACTGATAAGTTATGACCGAAAGTACCGAGAGAGAAAAAAACTTTTCGTTACCTAGAAAATAGGCTTATAAGCCGGGCGAACAGGACGTTCGTTGCTATTGCTAATTTGCTATAGTACAGTAATCTAGTCTGTTTCTTTGAGGAGACTCGACTCTTGAGACATGGAGTGGGGTTGAAGTCTACCTGGACATGATCAGGATAACAGTGGCCGTCATTTCCAATTGAAGGCGCCGTACCACGTTGAGCCCGACTAGGCGGCATCGAATGAAGGGAGAGAGGGATCTGAGCTGTGAAGAGTGATCATGACGGCGATGGCGATGCTGATGATGGTCTCGGCCAATCCAATTCCAACCCCCAAGAGGTGGTGGCGGTGGGCCTCGTTGGAACTTGCGATGCTGCGTCCTGACGTGGACCAGCGCAGCATCTTTTCCCTCCCGTCCACGCCTAACACACTGTTCTCATCGCACGATGGATGGTCTTTCCTATGCTTCTTTATTTATCAGATTGAGAATTATATTTCTTAATTAATAAAAATCTTCTCTCCATCCCTTAAAAAAATGGAAGACCAATTCATCTCGTGCATCTGGCGCGGAGGAAGCAGCCGTACGGTGGATGTGGGAGGAATTGGATGATGTGAGCATAGGCACGATGTGTAAGCTCAATGTTGTCGTGAAGCGCCGAGATAGGATTATGCAATCAACCCTTTGATATGTCAAGGTGCTATGCAGACATTTTTTTTCTAATGTTTAATGACTCACCATCATATCAACACAGCGCGTAATGTTACACCAACAAAATTGTCTTCAATACTTCAGAACCACTAATAGTTAAGGAGCTACGAATGGGCCTGTGGTCCAGTGGTAGGGATGTCCAGTGGTACCCTACCCTCTATGGCCCTGTTCGCTGGTCTGAAAATTGGCTGAAACTGACTGAAAAACACTGTTCCGGCTGAACTGTTGTGAGAGAAAAACACTGTTCTGGCTGAAAAAAGAAGCCGAACAAACCGAATATGGGGTAAGCCGAACAGGACCTATATAGGGTTCAAACACTGGTGATTGCACATTTTTCTGCATTTTTCTAGAAATTTTAGGGTGCACGAGGAAATTTTAGGGTACACGCACGCGTGCGCGTTTGGTGGTGGTACTGCGCATTTCCCCCGCATTGGAGGCGATGTCGCCTCCCAATATCTTCTTTACGTGTGTACGGACGCGCACGCATGTGTGGGTTGTGTACGTTCAAATTATACCTAATAAAAAAATAGTTAAGGAGCTAATGTTAAAAAAACAAAAAAAATCTTTCTTTAATTTATCACTCTCCATTACTTCCCACACTCTCTCGTCTATCCTTTACTTTCACTCTTTTCACTTTGACTTTAAAGCTGCAAAATTTTCGTTGACACAGCACGACGCATTACTCATTTCATGCCTTGGTTTTCCGAGCCGGTACGCATCGCAACTTGTGGTTCTCCTTCCACCTTTCCACAACGAATACACATAATAGCCACATATTTAAGTTAGTCAATCTTGTGCTTTTATATAGATCTTAGAATTTATTTAAGGTTAGACCAACCATAACTTAATTCACCAAAAATAGCTAGTTTATTACTATTGGCACAAGCATCGTGAAACAAATTATATTATACGTTCCATTACGCATTTGCTAGTACATATAGATGAGCAAAGGAACTTCTACCCATTCAACTGACAGAGAAGGAAAATTTCCGCCAACTGAATTAGCAAGATTAGATGTCGCCATTTTAATTGGCAATGATTATATTTATAAAAACATTCCGTGTTGTGACATTTATTTTGCAAAAGGCCAATTTAAAATAGGTGGGGGGAATCCGACATTTCATCGCTCAGAATTCAGATGTGCTGCCCTACGCCCTAAAGTGGGCTTCGGATGTGATGGCCATAGGCCAAATTCATAGCCCAGTCAACCCAGTAGCGGAAGCTCGGGGGAGGCCCAATCTTTTTCAAAGCGTGTGTAGAGTAAACAAAAAAAGGTAGATAGAGAAAAGAAGCTTTGACTCCTCCGCAAAACCCGTACGTAACTGCACTAACCTAACTCGATCCGTAAGTTCAAAGGATGGAACGAGTATTGCGTTTTGGTATGGAAAATGAAAGGCAGAGAACAATTGTAAATTACAGTGTACAACGGAAAGTAGTTATTTGCAAAATAGCAGCGATCAGTTCATTCAGATGTATTATCTCTGTAAGCTCAGTTGTTTTTATCTTTAATCATTGCAGTTTCTCATTACTGATCTCAACTTTTGGCAAGAAATGTGCCAATAAATGTTCTTGTATGCTAAATGGTTAGCTACATGATCAATCAGTTCTGGAAGAACCGAAAATTGAGAATTCATAACTACACTTAGCTATCTTTGGAAGAATTGTGTCACATAATACTACCATAACTCATCACGTACACTTATCTCCGCACTCCAAGAAAGAGCTTCATGATGTAACCAAGGTTTGATCATGTTGAATGAAAGCACCTGAATGAGGAAAACCTTTTGTAAGAAATCCAGCATGAGAAAGCAGTAAAGTGCAGTTTGCTGAATGCATGGTCAAACACAGACGATGCAGCCTGCTTTATTCCCACTCATACTTGATCAAAAATAAGAACTGAGATAACATAAAGGGATTGTTGTATTAGTGAATCACCTGAACAGCACATCCAGGGTTGAAACTGCTGGTACTTGATAATGCCAATAAACTAATACTGTAGTGCATAACAACAGGCTACATGTATTGATCTACTGTGAGTCTAATTAGCATCTTGGCTGCTCTAGGCATTTTTGAAAGAAACGATTTCCCTGCAACATGGATTGAACTAATAAATAAACCTGGAAACAAAACAATTGCCTGTACTCCCAATAGTATAGGATTAAGAACCAGTCCTCACCTTAAAGGCAAAAGTGATATCTGATCTGTCAATCTGAAGCGTTACTCTCCTAAGCTTATCTTCCTTGGATTGCCCTAGCTTCATGAACCCCTACAATGCAAACACCATTAAACACTAAACACTTTGGTTGCCTTTCTTTTCATTCCAGTGCACTTAAAAATAAAATAACATATTTGCATACCTGATCGCTCAAAACCATACACATGTTAGAGAATTCAAGCATTCCAACTGCTGGAACTTGGGTTGATCTACAAATCTCAATGTATGATTTGTTGAGCTGAAAACAGGGCATGTATAGATGAGTTTAGAATTACACAAGGTGAGGTTATCTGATCAAGTGCTTACTTTCAACATGGCATGAAATAAGCATTACCTCGCCTAGAGTAGTAGCCTTTTTCTTGCAATGCTGAAAAGTATTTGCCAGTGCACACAGCACCATCTGCCAACAATTCATATATAAGAATGAGACTGAAAGAAATGTAGCAGACAGAATACTAGAATTAATTGAACAAGGGGTCAGAAGAGAAAGAGTAACAAAGATCTGAACGCTCTACATTCTGAAGCGTACGACATTTTACCTGTTGGTGCTGGGGAAGACACAGTATGCTATCTACGACTGCTGACTTGAATGCTTTTGACAAAGCTATATCCATATGGTCAAATGTCACCTGTAGATATAATATTAGAATCCAATTCAAGATGATTCAGTCGCTAAATGAGTCCATCACAAATCATTTTAAAGAATTTGGATATGATCAGTTAAAAAGTAAAATTCATAGTGGGAAGAAAGTGTACAGGTTTATTTAGCAGAAGATAGAGAGGTCATTAGCAACACTCAAGCATAATGGTGCCTGTAATTCAATTTGCTTTCAATCAAAATACGCAAACAGATTTATCTAATCCTATTGATCAAACAGTTGGCTAATTACAAGTTATGAAAAAAGCTGACACCTCGAATTAGATTGATACACTTAGGAATTCAGTTTAGTTTTGTACTTTTGTGTGGTATTCCACCTAGAAACCATTAGCATTCCTCCGTTTAAACTTGCTAAAACAAGTCAGGTGAGAACCAAAACTTACTATTCCTAATTCTTGATCAGGGGAATCTTGTAGCTTTGCTTCAAGAACCTCCATGGCACTCCTGGAATTCACAAAATAAGGATGTTGTGTTGTAATGGCTGACTTTGCTGAAGCATGCAAATTAAAATCTCAATTCTTGAACAACCAACATCAATACAACCTAACATATATAACAAGATTTGTAGTTGTGTTTGCATGTGCATCAGAACAATTCACATTTCCTTAGGTTCCAGAAAAATGTTGTTCGGGAGGCTAATCACAGAGAATGACTGTTTCATCAGAAACAGGAGTGCCGTACCTGCAAACGCCTAGAGCTTTTCTCATGTCGCCAGAGGCTGCTGCAACTTTCTGATAAAAGAACATTCACCCAAACATTACAAGGTAAATAAACACAGATGAAATAACGAGTACAATATTATGGTTTTTGTAAATGAAACTATTGAGTCCTTTCAGGATGAGTACACTTACTCTAGCACAAAACTCCAGAGCTAGTGGTTCAAAAACATCATACTCAAGATCCTGTACAAGTGCCATAGCAAGAAATTATGAACAAGAAGATGAATACATAGTAACTGGAGATAAATGCAGAGAAACCTGAATTGACAACACAATGCAATAGACCAATAGTTACCTTTAGCCTATGCTTAACTATGTCAGATATTTGATCCTTGGAATATGCTCGAAAAGTCACAACAAGAGGCTTGCCTGTCAATTAGTATAGCAAAGTCAAAGGCATGTCAAGTTATTTGATCAGTAAATTTAGAATTAACACTTCAAAGAGTGCTTACAGTTTAAGGATTCAAGCTTTGGAAGAAACCGATCTGCTAAGTCTATGGCATTTGCAATTCCTGAAAAACGGTGCTGTCAGTCAAAAAAAGGGTAGATTGGTTTATTGACATAAATAGCTAAGTGTAGGTGTAAGTATTCTTCAAAGCTTCACCTATTAGTATGCATCTAGAGAATGGACAGGTCGTAAGCATGAAAAAATCATGTAGCACAGCACGGTCTCTTGTTATTAAGTAGTCCATCTCATCCACAATGACCAGCCTACGACAGCACCACGCAAGTCAGATAACATGATCAAAACAGCAAGAAAATCCCAATAATCATAGTGGATACAAGCAGTTATTACATCATTCTTCTTGGAGCTGAATCCTTGTTGGAAAACATGCTCTGAAGTTGCTGAAGTGGTGACAATTTGCTGCTTCCCTTTTTTCGGTTCTGAAATTTTCCTAGTATCTGCATTATAAAATGGATCAGTATATACGGTTTTTCTGTTGTGTTGGATAATCATCAATAGATCAACCCTATAACTAAGTAGCAGTTATTACCTTGCCAAATATCTCAGAGGTGTTTGCTAGGTTTGTACAATTGATTCCTAAGGAATCAGGTGTCTCCATTCCCATCTGCATTCACACATGATTAACACAACAAATCCACATAAAAACGCTCCAAAAGCAGAAACTGCAGGGGAACATGAGAAATTATCATAGCATACCTCATCTGCCCAACACACCAAGCTATCCTTGATCTTGCTAATAGACAATGTCTTCCCTGTGCCAGGGCACCCGCAGACATAGAGACTACCAGCCTTCTCCTGCTCGACGCACGCCTTGCAGAACTCAAGGACGCGCCTCAGCTCGTTATCCCGGCAAACCAATTCAGACGACGGCACTGTTGCCACGTGCAGCGCCTCCTTGACAGCCCTCATCTGCGCGGCATCTGCGTGGCAGGACCAATTCTCATCAGGCCCCAAACAAGTCAACAAAGCAAACAAATCGGCCGGCTAAAAATGGAAATTGAGGGACTTACCTCGGGGATTCCACTTGGGCTTCTCGACTGCGACAAGATCGCTGTAGAGACGCTTCCTGGAGGACTTAGGTGACGCGGAGAGCAGCTTCGGCATGCACACCTGTGAGATCGAGCAGTTGGTGTGCATTGCAAAGGGGAAACAGACGAAACTAAGCAGTAGCCGAGCAGATGTGCATCGAAGTCCAGTAAGCAGTGGATCTTACGGTTCCGGTGCCGGAGTGCGGGAATTGGTGAGGGGAGGTGTGCCGCGACGCGTCGGGCGACTCGCCGGTGCGGCCTGGCATCAGCCGGCGCTTGACGCTGCGCGGCGTGCTCGCCGCTGCAGGGGATGGGGTGCCCACGAGGGACCCGTTCGCCGTCGCGCTGCGGAGAGTCGGCATTGTGGCTCGCCGGGAGGGAAATTGGCGGTCCTACTTTGGGGATGGGAGAGAATTTGGAGGGAGGAATGTTCGAAATGGATGGCGGGGAGAGGGAGATGGGTGGGGAAGAAAAGGGCGGGGGCGGGGAGGGGCGCAACCGCGATCGCGCGCAGACCGCGAAAGGGTTTTCGGCTTCGCGCGGGAACGCGAGAGCGCGAACGTGCTCTGGCGGTCTGGCCTCTGGGACCGCGGTAGGTGGCTCTTCAAAAATTGTATGCGCGCGCGCGTGTGCATGTCATGTGATATGAGCCGGTGTGAATCTAAAGATAAGAGAACCTGTGGAGCAAACGCGCGCACAGCGTGTACACGGTAGCGAAAAAAATTTGGGATATTTGGACTGAGGCCATTATAATTCTTGAAGTTCCGAGATTTGCCATTACTATTCATCTATCCCGAAGCATGTCATTACAATTTTCGCATACGTTGATATATGCCACACTCTACACGCGCCGAATGTCTGAGCCCGCTCGCAAGCTTACGTGGCATACACTGGACCGTATCCATCCGTCTTCCGTTCCTCAAGTAAACGGCTCGGTTACCTCCGCCGTCTCCTCAGTCTCACTCTCCCGCACTCCTCCTCTCTCTCGCCCTCGTGGTGGTGGCGACTTCGGCGACGGCGGCGGTGGTGGTGGCGACTTCGGCGACGGCGGCGGCGGCGGCGAACCCAACGGCGTCGTGGCGCAGCAGGGACCCAACGACGGCAACGCTAGGGGCTCGTGGATATGAGCTCGAGCTCCACCGTTGGTGGCACCAGAAGCGGGCAGGCCCCCCTACTGGACTGCCCTGATTGCCATGTTCCTCTAATCCGAATCCAGAGCAAGCAATCGAACTCGTTGAACAAGTGGTTTGTGAAGTGCCCCAACAACGAAAAGGTGAGGATTTGCAGTGCTTTTTTATTTTTCTGATTTGGTTTTAGTTGAACTGATCTAGGGTTAGCAGGGTGATCCAACAATGTGTGGATGGATCCGTTCTGAGGAACAGTACGAGGCCTTTGTGCGATCAGAGGCTCAAAAGCAAGGGAAGCATATTCAGAAGCAGGTACCATTTTATGGTGGAGATGACATTGGTGATTTGAAGGAACAGCTAGCTGAAGTGAAGCAGAGACTGGACAGTGTTGTCAATGAAGTTTGAAAATGAAGATGCAAACCGATGCGTGGCCACTTGGTGATGTTCGTCTAAGGCAGGACAGTGTCAGTGAACTAAGCAGGATTTGGGTCATAGAAAATTGCAGATTGTGTTGGATGTATCTGTTGTCGTATGTGTGCTTGTTGGTGCACTGCTAGGTTTAGTTGTTGCCTAAATATTTAAGTGACTGTGAATCAGTCTTAATGTAATGAATTGAGAATGAATCAATGGATGGATGGATGTTGCTTGAAGTTATGTGTTTGTTGTCTGACTGTGATGCAATGTGACTTGATTGTAGTCATAATTTGAGCAGTATTGTGACTTAATTTTAGGTCGAATTTCAGCAGCATTTTGCAATGATTTTAGTCTTAATTTCAGCACCATTTTCACTTGATTTTAGTCATAATTTTAGCATGACTTTCACTTGATTTTAGTCAAGATTTCAGCAGCATTTTGATATAATTTTAGTAGCATTTCAATGTCCACATTACACATCACAGTAGAGTAGCAAGACCATTAATATAGTAGCAAGTACATTACTTAATATTGTTCACTAACAGCACACACAGAAGGGCATAAGTTTCAGGGTTCAAAAGCTAGCCACAAGCACTACTACTTAATTATTATATTTGACCAAAAGCTGGCCACAAAGTTCAAAAGCAGGCCACAAAAAGCCACACACTAGCTATCATACAAATACTTTTGGCATTCAGTCACTAGCTATCGAAAACCAGCTGCACTGTGAACTAGAAAATTTGCACAATTGTAACAGAAACATGCTAATATAATTACCAGTTGTAACAAGTTCACAGGCCATTCAGGCAATATTACATAAACAAGTTTACACACACACTTGAACTCAAACAAGTTCACAGAGACAGATTCAGGAAGGCCAATATTACAAGTTCATAGGCCATTACTACATTACAGGAGCTAACAAGTTCACAGCCAACCACCTTAGATTACTACTACATCATAGCGTCAAAATAGGAATATGACAGCGCCATGCATAGAAGGCCAACAAGTTCATATTGCTACCAAAATGACAGCGTCAAGTTCAGATTACTATGTCACAGCGCCAAAATGACAGGCCAGCAGACAACCATTTGACAGGCCACCAAAATGACCAAACCCCAACAAGGTTATTCCACTGAGAACAACAAATCCTTGAGGGTTTTAACCACTTTAGGTGCTGGAGCAGCTGCATCTTTCTTCTGCTTTTCTTCAGTGGTGTCTTCTTCTTCTTAGGTGACTTCTTCTTAGGTGCCTTCTTGGATGGGCCAGCCATGTCAACTTCATCTTGTCTCTTCCTATTACAACAGCTTCAGTTAGTATAGATTTAAATGGAAATAAAAAAATTAGTACAGATTTAAATGGAAATGAAATACAAAAATTAGTATAGATTTAAATGAAAATGATTGCTGACCTTTTGTTTGTTCTAGCAGTTTCACCATCTTCACCTACCATCTCCAGCTTGCATGTCTTGAAGAAGTGTCCAAAACCTCCACATCTTTTGCACCTTACTTTTCTTCTTGCTGGCTTGTTTCTCTAGGCAGCCCCTTATCCTTACTTTCTTTGGCCCGCCTGCTCTCTCCCAAGCAAAGGTGGATGTACTTTGAACCCAAGCTGAAATTTAGGCCACTGTGTTCTATCTGGCATAGGCTCAACTCTTCCTTCATATGCAGCTCTGAATCTAGCAACGGAGTAATACTCATGCACATAATCTGCAATTTTAACGCCTCTGTTTGATAGTATCCAGGGCAAGGCATGCTTGCATGGCTTCCCAGTAATTTGCCATTCCCTGCAGGAGCACTTGTGATTCTTCAAGCCCACTGTGCACCTCTTCTGGTTATTCCAATCATCAAGAATAGTCACCTCTGCAAAGTCTTCATCATTTACTGCAACATTGACAACTTTGAGATTCTTGCTTATCAGGTTAAGTTCCTTGATAACACTTGGTAGTATGCCTTCTTCCCACTGCTGTGCTATCTTCTTTCTAACGTACCTCTTCTCTATTATCAACTCCCTGAGTCTGTCCACTAGCTCATAGATATGAAGTCCCTTGAACTGCTTAATCTGAGCATTGAAACTCCTAGACACATTATTTATCAAGTAGTCACACTTGCTCTCCTCTGAGAAGGCACACCTATACCATATTCTGCCATGATAGCGCTCTAGAAAGTCAATTGCACCTGGAGCGAATTCATAGATTTGTTGGATATGCCACTTGAAAAGCCCGTCTGTGTAGCTCCTTGCAGCAGGGTACAGATGTTCAGTGAAGACATCCCCTGAGTAGTGTTTCATGAAGTTTTGATATAGGTGTCTCATGCACTCTCTGTTCTCTACCTGTGGGAACACAGCCCCTATAATTTTCTCTAACCCTTTACAAGCATCTGAGCATAACACCAGACCTGGAGGGTCTCCTATGACTGCATACAAATTCTCCAAAAACCATTTCCAGTTATCCTCAGTCTCAGAGTCAAAAATTCCATATGCAATATGGTACAACCAGTTGTGCCCATCCACCCCAGTAGCTGAAGCTAACTGTTCAGTATATTTTCCATGCAGACAATATGCATCTACACCAATGAATGGTATACAACCAGCTAAGAAGCCATCAATGCATGGCTTCAAAGCAATAAATACTCTCTTGAACCTATTCTTTTTACCAACCTTCTCTAACTTGATTTGTACTCTACTTCCAGGAGAACTAAGTTCAATCTGTGTAGCCCAATTAAAAAGGAGTTGAAAGCTTTCCTCATACTTACCATGAATGTGGTTTAGAGCTTGCTGTAAACCAGACCATGCTTTTGAGTACTTCAGCTTTATGCCAAAATCACCCTCCAACTTGTCTCTAGCATCCTTGGCTCCCTTAGCTGGGTTCTTCTTAATCCAATCCCCAAGTCTATCCGCACACCAACCCTGGGTATCCATTTTGCCTTCTCTAAGCTTGGTGGTAGGACAGTTGTGCTCGACAGGTAGGACTTTGATCTGAAAAAGACATATTACAATGACTTAGTCACACATATTGACATGTACAAGGCATAATAAGGTTGATATGAACTTACCTATACAGTTTTCTTGTCAAAAATGGTAGAAGCATGTATGCGCCAAAGGCAGTCACTAGCAGCACACCTCGCAATAAACCTTGTCTTGTCTGTTCGGACCCTAGGTGCAAACTCAAAACCCTTGACGACAGCGTAATGCCTTATAGCTTTCCTGAATGCAATGATATTAGGAAATAACCCCCCTTCTGGATATTTGGATTCAAAGGATCATGTAGAACATGAACATCCAAAGGGTCTTTATCACCAACCTCTGCCTCATCAACAAGAGGAACAACATTATCATCATTATCAATACCAGAAGCAAATGCATTTTCAGATGCCTGTGCATTGTCAGACTATGCATTGTCATCAGCTGTCTCTGCATTCCTAGTTGCCTATGCAGTTGGCACTAGAATATACATAGCTTCATCATCCACTCCAACATATTCTTTAGCATTACAAAACATATCAAGCACTACATCTACATCTACAACAACTGCCTTTGGAATGTCATCAACAAACACATTGCATTTGGTTGTACGCTCTGTAGGCATGTTAGCATCAAGGTTGCCTAACTCTACATCAGGAGGAACCACACAAAGCGGCTCTAGTGCATCAAATTCATCATCTAAACAAGTTGCCTTATCAAACACTCCAACTACAACCTGACAGCTCCTCTCATCCTTGTACAGTTCAAAAATATCAACCATCTGAATCTCATTAGCTAACCTAACATCCTCATGCAGCCTTTTGTCATAGAACCACACTGTAGGTTTCTGAGCAGAAGATAAATTCAACTCCTTACACAGACTACTCAGCAGCAACTCAAGTGTCAAACTCCCAAACTCGACATCCCACTTAAAAATAGTTCCCTTCATGTACGATTTTCTCCCATTAGAGCCATTAGAAGCGAAAGCTTCCACTTTAACCTCTAGCGCGAACATCTCACACCTAACGCAAATGAAATGATAAATATGCAGAATGGCGTACATCTACACTAGCAAGCATATAGAACCCTAATCCGAACCCTAATCCCAACACTATGATGGACAAAACGACATCAAAAGTGCGAGAAAGGTACATGTTGTCGTCGTCCTCCATCACCGCCGCCACCAATTGCCACGGAGCACCAGTGGGGGTTATGGGGGCTCCATCGCCTTCGGTGCAGGCACGGTCGCCTCTGGGATCCCCAGCCGCCACCGCCTGCTTATTTGCCCGGCCAACTACTCTGGTTCTCTAGCCGCCGCTGACTCCTTCAATCGCGCCAGCCATTGCTGCCGCCTTGAATCGCGCCAGCCGCCGCCGCTGCTTTCAATCGCCGAGCTACGGTTCGTCGTTGAGAAAGGGGAACGGGAAGGGGAGAAAGAGAGTGAGAGTGACGCGAGCTGCTTAATGGAGGAGGCCGATAGATAACGCTCGTTTGCGTCCCTGTACGCATACGGTGCTGACAGTGGGCCCTAGTACGTGGCATGTGTACAAAATGGCAAGGTTCAGGGATAACGGGAATTATAATGGCCTATCTCCAAATAAAGAATTTATAATGGCGTTTCTGAAAACTTGAAGAATTGTAATGGCCTCCATCCAAATATCCCAAAAATTTTCGAAACGTTCTGATCTTGATCGACGATGCTACAGGCGCTGAATTGTGACCTCTTCCTTTGCAAACAGGAGTTCGGTTGTGGCCTGGTCAACCGCAGTATGATCCGTACGTTGTTGTCGAGCGTTCATTGGCCGCGCCATGTCGTTGTCGCCCGGTGAGTGGCTGGCTGGACTGCCCCCACCAGAAGCGTCGCTGGGAAGCGGGCTTTCTCAGTAGCCTATATGGCCGCTATCACTGGGCGCCGCGGCTCTATCTTGGTTGTGGTTCGCTCCGTGCCGCTGCCTACTGGGCTCCACATCGCCCAGCTACCCTGGTCCCCCATGGTCAGCATCCCTGGTTGTGTGGAGTCCTCACTATTTTGTGGGCGGAGCCGGGGTGGGGAGCTGGGGGCTTTTACATTTTTACCATTATAAAGATGACACTCATCCGAATATCACTCTTAGAATGACACTTACAACTTTACCAGATGAGAGAAGTTTTAGTTTTAGATTTACCACATTTGCGCATGTGGCATGCCACGCCAGCTCGACACGTGTCGCCTAGTCAGCCTGAGCACGTGAAATGCTGTTGCTACCCCTGCCTTGCTCCTCTCTCTCCATCCCCAACAGCTGGGTCCCGTGGTACCTGTCACTTCCAGGTGGACCCCACTCGTCAGCTTCGTCTTCCATCTCCGGCACCTAGATGGGAGACAGCTCGCCGGAGCTCCATCGCCCATGGCCAGAGCTCCATCGCCCAGCGCCTAGATGTGGCACGCACCACAGGCTCGGCATAGCCTTCACGCCCAGCTCGCCGGAGCAGCTGCTCCCCAGCGGGTGAGCCACCACCTCGGCCTCCCTCTCCGCGCGGCTAGCGAGGCCACGACGGAGTTGCTCGCATGCGTGCCCGCGAGGCCGCGGCGGAGCTGTTGATCGCACGTGCGCCGACGAGGCCGTGGGGGAGCTACTCGCGCCCGCGCCGACGAGGCCGCGGTAGAGCTGCTGCTCATGCGCCTCCTCCTTGGCTTCCTCACACCGTCTTTGCTCCGAAGCTCGTGGGCGCGTCCGACTTGGCTTGCATTGTCTTGGCGCGGCGTGGCGTCAGACGTCGTCCGCCATTTGCCGCCGTCTAGAGCTGGACACCAGTCACCACTATCCTCTTTGGCTCCCTGCCTGTGACATGTGAGCACCTCTGGAGTCTTGTCTTGACTCGTGAGTGGTGACTCCCTATCTTCCTGTCCTTTCCGCTGGATAGATTGGTCGATTGGTTGTCTCCCATCCAGGTGCTGGAGCTGGAAGACGAAGCTAATGAGTGGGGTCCACCTAAAAGTGGCAGGTGTCGCGGGACCTAGCTGTCGAGGATGGAGAGAGAGGAGCAAGGCAGGGGTAGTAACGACATTTCACGTGCTCGGGGCCGACTAGGCGATGCAGTGTCGAGTGGCGTGGCATGCCACATGCGCAAATGCAAATCTAAAACTAAAACTTCTCTAAAGTTGTAAGTCTCATCCCTAAGAATGATATTTGATGAGTGTCATTCTAACAATGATATTCGGATGAGTGAAAATCCTTATAATGAAAAAAAAATGCCAAATTTAAAGCCGAAACGAGACCATAATGGGGTAAAAAGCCAGGGGTAAATAGGCAGCGGCCGACTACTGTTCTTCTCCCCTTTCGGATTGCGATTTGTCGTAGGTAGTCATCTCTGGCTACCCTCTCCTCGTTTCGTTTGGTTCCTTCGCCGGCGTCGGCCGCTTCTTCCTGACTGCCTGTGCCTCTCCGTCGCATGTGGCGCCTTCTCTGCAGGGTCGTGACGATGTCTGGAGGGTGCTCTCGAGAGTGGTGCGGATCTGTGGGAGCGGCGGCCTGTGCTACGCTGGACCTACGGCTGACCAGAGTTGGCGTCTTCCTGTCTGCTGGGACCGGCGAGGCTGGTATGGTTCTTTGGGATCCCATGCTACTGCATTTGCTGCTTGTGATCGATATTTGGTTGATCTGTACAGATTTCTGACATTTGGGGTGGGGTTTTTCCTTTTTTTCCCCGGCGTCCGTTCGCCCTCGATTGGGCATTCTTGCACTGCCGGTGTGTTGGTGTTTTCTTTTTGTTTAAATCATTTTCGTTTCCACCTATCGCTAGTGTACAGAAGAAAGGAGACATGTTTGTGGTTGGGACCTCCTACCTATCTCTGTTGCAGGTTGTGGCGGCAAGATGTGGGTTGTCGTATGCGTCGGTGGTGTTCGAGAGGGAGAGAGATAGGACACCTATCTATGGTGTCGAGATCGATGTGCCCTGCTTTGGCGCGTCGTCACCTCCCGTAGTTTTTTCTTTTGGGCACCCCAAGAAGAATTTTCTGCTCTAGGCTACGAGCAAGCTGCTTTGCAGGCCATAGCTTTTTTACAGAAACTATATGGGTTTGTCGTGGTCGATTACAATATTCAGTGTAGTGCTGTACAGTCGGGTTGCACGCGATGTCGTGGCTGTTGCTGCTACGGCTACTGGGATTTTAAGTAGGATAGGTGTAGAACGAAAGGACCTAGCTATGCAGTCTGCATACTTGATAAAGGAGGTATCCTTAATCTTCTTGTTTGATGCTTTTTGGTACCCTGGAGTAGTGTACGGGCTAGCCAATTCTTGGCTACGCGGGCTGATGAGATTAATGGGTTGTATGGTTTACCTGGTACACAGAGAACTGTAATGTTGTTCTGTTCCGCATGCTGTGTTCCAGTCACTTCCCTGCTTTCTGAGGAGGCCGGATGGCGCCAGGTGTTCTTCTGCCTTGCGTCGACCCAGCTGGTGAAGGAGAATGTATGTCATCTTGAGTGTTGTTTTCACAGAATGAGCTCTGAACTACCTCTCTGCTGCTGTGACAACATAGTCCATTGATTGTTCCTTGTTCTGTTATGCCTAGCTTCTTCCCGGTCTGCGAGCACGGTTACAACTTCGCATGGTGCTAGGAAGCAATGTAGGTGTTCTGTGAAACTGTGTCACTCCAGAGGGTTCATGGTTGGTTGTCCTTTTGTTATAGCGGCCGGTGCATACCACGCGCCGGTTAGTCTCTCTCCTGTCGAGTGTCATCCTAACGCTATCTCCAACAACACCACCCAAAATACAAGACTCATTCGTCCTTTGGGTAGCATTACAGGCAAAAGGTTCAATACCTATTCGGCATCTTCTCCAACAATAAGATCCAAAAGAGAATCATTTCTGTAAATGGGTTTCTAGAAGAGAGGATGCCCATATTTGGGTTGTGCCTCTCAAGCAACCCAAAATAGGTCTCCCATATAGGTACTCTGTTGGGGGCTGATTTTGGGTCTCTTGCTACCCATTTTAGGTTTGGGTGTCCATATGGGTTCCTTGCTGGAGACGGTCTAAGCGAAAGAGATATCTAGACCAGCGGAAAATGGTTAAGCAGAGGAGATATTTAGAGCAGCCTCCGCTGGGCTCGACAGGTGTTGCCTCTTTCCTTGTGCTTTGTACGCTCCATTTATCTCTAAATTTATAGAACTCCTATGTGGTGCTTGTGTGCTCTATGCTAGGCTCTGTTAGTGCCTATGATACAGCTTTGGGGCGTGGTCGCTTCACTCAAGAATTCATTGATGCGTTGAAAGGTTTGTTTGTTGTTTCAGTTACGTCTTCAAAGTGTTGCTAATTGTGTGTTCCTCTCTTGGTCTTGTGCTTTCTATGTGGCTCTGTTGACTTCTGGACGGTGGGTAGCTTCGTATTCTGGACGTTCGGATTATGGACTTCCAGAATATGAATGTAGATATTGCCATGCTACCTTCTGGCTCCGTGAATGTGCTAGGGGACAGTCAAGCGTGAGAAACGGTAACATTGTTTACAACAGATGTTGTAAGGGTGGTAAGATTGTGATACCTCCATTTAGGGAGCGGCCTGAGCCCCTAGCTTCTTTGGCTAGATTTGATGGTGATGCTCGGTGTAAACGTTTCCTAAACAATATACGCCAATACAATTGTTTGTCTGCTTTCACTTCGATGGGTGCAAATATGGATAGATCTATGAACGATGGTCGTGGACCTCCTGTGTTTAAGATATCTGGCTAAATTCACCATCGTATATGATCCCTTCTTCTAGACCATGGTAATCCCCTGAAGTTCATCTAGCTGTACATATATGATACATCAAACGAGGTGAGGAATAGACTGCATGCTCTTCACCCAGGCGAACGCCCTAACGAACCTTTAGAGCCGCCTGTTATTGAGGAGTTGATGAAGATGCTAGACAACCACAATCTATTGGCTAAACAATTTAGATTGGCAAGAGACCAGCTGGAAGAAAATGGTAACGAGGAATTCATAGTCAGGATTGTAGGGGCAAGAGAGGGAGACCCAGTTCAGTATAGTCTTCCCACTGTTGACCAGCTTGCCATGCTTGTTGTTGGTGATTTTTCCTTTGACACTTTTCAGCGAGATATAGTGGTACAGGCTAGAACTGATCAGTTGCAACATATTTCCTCCCTGCACCCTGCTTATATGGCAGGGCAGTACCCTCTTCTATTTCCCTATGGTGAGCGCGGTTATCAAGTGGGTGTAGTCTATTCTGGTGTTGACGTCGGCGACGAGAATGCTAGGGTTAAAATAACTATGCAAGACTATTTTCCGCTATGCATTTCACTATAGAAAAAACTAGCCAAACCCCTTCCTATACTACGGTTCCTTGTCTACTCAGGCTAAAGTTGACGCGCGTGCTTCTGTTGATGAAAATAGGCTCTGGTATGTGAAAGGATCAAGATGCTCAAGAGGGGGATGAATTGGGCTAATTCTAAATTTTATGCAATAATTAAGTCCTACACTTAGCCCACTTCACCCCTTGTGCCTAGAATGTGTTTCTATCGTTCTACCGCACAAAAGTTTTGCACCCTAGGTTCCAATCCTACTCTAGCATGATAATTCTAGGAATGTAAAGACATGACATGAATTGCTCAAATGTAAATGCTGATAGTAAAGAGAGGGAAAGGAACACGACGATGTTTTTTCGAGGTATCGGAGAGTCGCCACTCCCCATTAGTCCTCGTTGGAGCACCCGCGCAAGGGTGTAGCTCCCCCTTGATCCGCGCAAGGATCAAGTGCTCTCTACGGGTTGATTCTTTGACACTCCATCACGGTGAATCGCCCACAACCGCTCACAACATGACTTGGGTCATCCACAAGCTCCGCCGGATGATCACCAAGCTCCCAATCACCACCAAGCCGTCTAGGTGATGGCGATCACCAAGAGTAACAAGCACAAACTCTCACTTGACCAAGACAAGCCTAATGAGAAAGGTGGATGCACACTTGCTACTCTCTATTCACTAATGAGGTCCTTAATCTTGGATTCTCAAATCTCAATCACTTTATTAGGCTCTTACTCTCCCTTGCACTTCAAAGGTGTTTCTCTACTGAACAAATGGGCAAGAGTCAGTATTTATACCCCCTCATTCAAAACATAACGTTTGGAGGCTGAGTCAGCACTCTGCGGGCTGACCGGTCGCTCCAGTCAGGGTGACCGGACGCTCCGATTAGTTGTACCCGCCACTGTGCCAGAGAGAGTCGTTAAGCTCTGATCGGACATTAGTTCCGTCAAGATCGGCCGGACTTGCTCGGAGAAAAAACCTCTTACTCTCCTTGCCTTGCAAAAAGTGTTTCTCGATCGAACAAATGGGCAAGAGTCGATTTATACCCCTCATTCAAAAACATAACGTTTGAGGTCGAGTCAAGACTCTGACCGACCGTCGCGTTCGGTGACCAAGACAATTAACCTCTGCTAGAGAGAGTCGTTAAGCTCGACGGACACTCGACCAATGTCGGTCAGACCTCCACTCGGACGCGGTCGGTCAAAAAACTTCTCTTTGAGTGGACCGGACGCGGTACCCAAGTCGTCGGTCAAGACCTCCATCGGTCCGTCGGTCGATTTCAAACAAGAACAGCTTGAGCGGACTCTGGAACCTCTCTGGAGACGCGTCCGATCAAGAAAAACCCACTCTGGAACCTCTCTGGAGTTGACCGGACGCAGGCACCCCAGCGTCCGGTGCTCCTCCACTCAGCGTTCGGTTAGTACCAGACGGCTGCAGTTGATCAAATGAACTGACCGGACTCACCCTCCAGCGTCCGGTCAGTCATTTGACCCTCCATTCACTTCCAGCTCGAAATCCTATGTGAATGAAGTTGACTCCAATTGATCTTAGGGCTATTTCGGAGCTACCTAGTGCTAGGTTTGATAAGTGTGCACTACATCTAACCCACTAGACCCACCTAGGTCAAGCTACTAATCCATACACCCCTTAATAGTACGGCCAAAGGAAAAACAAAGTCCTAAACTACTCTAAGTGTCTCTCCAACACCAAACGACACTTAGAACTAGTTCATCCTTAACCTTGTCGTCCATGCTTTAAAAACTAAAACGATTTCCATCGACAGAGGCATGACAACCATGATTGCCCAATCAATTTCCATTACCATGACCTAACTTAACTTGCTTCTACAAAACACACATTAGTTATAGTAATCTCGTATCGTCATTAATCACCAAAACCCAACTAGGGGCCTAGATGCTTTTAGTATGTACTAAACAATCAGAGTAAGCTGTGTGTTGAAAGCCTACAGGGCATAGTCGACGCTGTCGATAGAGGTTGTGTGGATGGGGCCGAGATTGGTAAGAAAACGGTGCTGCCAGCTTCCCAACCATACCGGCGGTAGGCGCTACATGATCCAAAATTACCATGATGGGATCACGATCTGTAGAACATATGGACCACCTGACTTTTTCACTATGTTCACCTGTAATCCAAAGTGGCCAGAGATTGCGGGTGCCCTGTCCTTTGAGCCTGGTCAGAAACCAACTGATAGAGCGGATATAGTGGTTAGAGTGTACAATATGAAGCTTGAAGAGCTCCTCGGGGACATAAGGGATGGTACTGCTTCTGGCCTGGTCAGCGCTAGTATGTCCTTTGCATGATCTAGTCTGTCCCCTTGCTGTTTTTTTTTTGCCTGGTGGTTGATGATGTTTTCTCTATCTATATGCTTAGTGTTGCACACCGTCGAGTTCTAGAAACGTGGCCTTCCTCATGCTCATATTATTATTTGGTTGGCTCGTGACACCTCACACCCAACCCCTGCACTCATTGATACATATATATAAGTGTTGAGATCCCTGATCTGCATGTAGATCCCCTTGGATATGCGTTGGTTGCTGAGCACATGATGCATGGTCCATGCGGACCAGGCCACGAAAACTGTCCATGCATGAAAAAAGGCAAGTGTTCAAAAAGATTTCCCAAAAAGTTTCAGCCACAGACACATGTTGATGAAACTGGCTTTGCTCTATATAAAAGACCCCACAATACAATGTACATTGAGAAGGGTAACAAGCGTCTAGATAATGGTTGAGTTGTACCATATAACATGTTTTCCTTAAGAAATACCAGGCACACATCAATGTAGAGTGATGCAATAAGGGGATATTTATTAAATACCAGTTCAAGTATGTCACTAAAGGTCCCGACCGTGGCAAGGTTTATATAGAAAGAATACGGAACGGAGAATTGGCTCCCTATGATGAACAAACAAAAACAATTAATGAGGTCAAAGAATACCTGGACTGTAGATATATATGTGAGCAAGATGCGTGTTGGCGAATTTTTGGTTTTGACATCCATAGACACTACCCCGCCGTAGAGCGGTTGCCTATACATATGCCACATGACAATTGTATAGTTTATGATGCAAATACTGATATAGCCAGTGTTGCTTCTGAAGAATTTCTTCGTAAGACAATGCTCACTAAATGGTTCGTGGCCAACTAGAACAGTCCTGCTGGTAGAGATCTCACTTACTGTGAGTTCCCTTCCAAGTGGAAATGGGACAACTCTGGCAGATTCTGGGACCGTAGGCGGCGAGGTGCTGGTAAGATAGGTCGTCTTTACTACGTGCATCCCTCTGTTGGTGAGAGATACTTTCTTAGAATGTTACTTCTTGTGGTTAGAGGTGCTCGTGGCTACGCGGATCTTAGGAGATACAATGGGATTCTCTATCCCACGTTTAAATAGGCATGTAGTGCCCGTGGCCTCCTAGGTGATGATAGAGAGTGGTACGATGCTTTCGATGAAGCTGCTGCGTGAGCCACCTCTCCACAACTGAGAAAGTTGTTTGTCACTATGCTTTTGTTCTGCGAGGTAAATGATGAATACGCTTTCTTTGAAAAGGTTTGGAAACTTCTAGCCGATGATATACAGTATCGGCTGAGAGATACCCTTGGCAATCCTGGTTACGAACTTTCTGAAACAGAAGTTAAAGACTATTTGCTTGACGAGCTTTCGACGCTCTTTTCAAAGAATAGGGCGAGAATGAGGGACTGTAATTTACCTGAAAAATCCAAAGACTCGGGCTATTGTTTTGGTAACAGACTTATTGAACATGAACTCTCATATGATGTTAGCCTGCAAATGGTTGAGGCCCACAAATTAGTTGCCTATCTAAATGAAGAACAGCTCAGTGCATTCAACTCAATCACAAAGGCAGTTTGGGATAATAGGCCAGGTTTCTTTTTTGTGTCTGGGTATGGGGGTACTGGAAAGACCTTCCTTTGGGGGGCTATAGTTGCTTGGCTGCGTGCACATCGAAAGATTGTTCTTACTGTTGCGCCGTCTGGTGTTGCTTCTTTGTTGTTGCCTAGTGGTAGAACTGCTCATTCCCGTTTTAATATCTTGTGTGACCTAGATGATACCATTGTCTGTGATATCAAACATAGTTCGATGCTTTGTGAGCTGCTTGAGGAAGCATCATTAGTCATTTGGGATGAGGCTTTGATGACGCACCATCATGCATTCGAGGCTTTAGATAGAATCCTGCGAGATCTTATATCATGCAAGACAGAGGGTGCGGACAATTTAGTTTTTGGTTGTAAGGTTATTGTGCTAGGTGGTGATCTTCGATAGATCTTGCCTGTTGTTGAGGGTGGTAGTAGAGGTGAGATTGTAAATGCTACTATAGTAGACTCCCCATTGTGGAAAACTGTCACGGTCTTATCTCTAAACATAAACATGAGGCTCCGTTGTCCAGACTTT